ACTTTTGTTTGATTAGCGGGCACTCTGGCTTCAGCGGCAAACGGTGCTCTACAATATTTGTATCTAGACCAGGCATATCTTGGTAAGACCAAGCAAAAATATCCATATACTCTTTCAACATCTCAATCAACCTGCTCTTCACATCAGGATGCAACAATGCTCCAATCTTGACTTCCTTCAGATCTTCTTCTGAACCCAAATTGATTACTTCCAATAGCTCTTTATATGGTTGAATGGCATTCTCCTCGCGCTCAAGCAACTGTGAGACCTCTTATAGAATATCATCATAGTCTTCTTCTTCGGCCCCATACACAAGACATTCAAAGTTGGGAGAGGTTGCAGGGTCATTATATTCAACGGGTATTTTAAATACTCTACACATATGATTTGTGATTTCTTTTAGAAACTGATACATATAACAAGTGACCATGCAGATTGAATTTCAGTTATCATTTATTTTGAAAGTTTTTACTGATTACCATTTCCCAAGAAAAATCAGAAAATAAACACACAATTTGGGAAACAAAGATAACTTTTATTATTGATTTTAAAAAGTCACAGCAAACAGATAAGCCCATACAATATTAATACTTTCACCTTGGGCAGAGTAAAAGATTTTCAAAAAGATTAACAAAACAAATTACTTTGAAACATGTATGCAAGAGGGAACATTAATGGTGATCCAGTTCTGAACCCTAACTCCGTGCATCACATAATTTGGAATTTCTGGCTCTACTTCATCTTCCACAATGGAATTAATCCCAGAAACAGTTGGATGAAGATAACCCCCGCTACAAAAGACGTCTTGATACTTGCCTGCAGCAGCCCTTAGCTTCATGCTCTTACCCTCACCATTCTTCATAGAGAACCCCAAGCCAGCTCTATTCTTGTTTACAGGTGGATCAACAATTTGTCCCCATACTTCGCTATAGCCTTTACGCACAACCTGTTGTGCATCCTTAAACGAATCTATAAAGTTCTCATTTCCTCTTATGTTGTCAATGGATAAAGCTTGGAATTGGGTTCTAACAACAGCTTCATCAGCCTCTACAATGCTGAAAGAGGACAAATGAGATATCAATAATGCATGTTCTCCATTTATAATTACCACTTTTCCTTCACGTACAAACTTCAGCTTCTGGTGTAAATTCGAAGTGACAGCCCCTGCCTCATGTATCCACGGTCGTCCTAGCAAGCAACTATAAGCGGGTACAATATCCATGACCTGGAAAGTAATTTGAAACAAATGTGGGCCTATATGAATAGGCAAGTCCACTTCACCAATAACAGATTTCCTTGATCCATCAAACGCTTTCAAAATAATGCCACTTGGGCGCATGGGAGTTCCTTGATATTTCAACTTCATAAGTGTGCTCCTCGGTATAAACATTCAATGCGGATCCATTATCAATCAGCACATTGGATAGTGAATCATTCTTGCAGTTCATAAAGATGTGGAGGGCCAGGTTGTGATTCCTTCCTTCATCAGGAAACTCATCATCACAGAAACTCAGGTTATTACATAAGGTAATGTTCCCTACTACACTGCTGAATTGCTCTACAGGCATGTCACTTTCCACGAAAGCTTGGTCCAATACCCTCATCAAAGATTCTCTGTGAGCAGAGGAGTTCATCAATAAAGCCAAGATAGATATTTTTGAAGGAGTCTGCAGTAGTTGATCTACAATTTTGTAGTCGCTCATCTTAATTATCTTCAAAATATAATCCACCTCTTTCTCTAGCGTGGCTCCACTAGATTCACCCACTTCCTTCTTGGGTTCAACATTTTCAACAATTTTCTTTCCAGTACTAACATCTCTATGAATAACTGGTGCAAATACATGACTGTTGCGGGTCACTCTTCTAGTCTCAGTAATATTTCCAACATTAGGAATTGGGTGGATGGGAACTTCCACACCATCCTCTAAAATTGTAGCATTATATTTGTAGGGTAGAACCTTATCTGACTTGTAGGGGATAGGACCCGGCAAACTAATCACCAATGGAGTAATAGCTGGCTTTCTATGATATTCAACTTCAAAATGGGTGGGTGCACCAAAACAAAGCACAATAATGTTTACTCCCTCTTCAACATAATCAGTCATTACAGAGTCATCTCTGGAAAACAAATCCTAATCTAAGGAGAAATACTCATCTGCAAAGGCATACTCATTATCTGACTTTTCTTCAGCCAAACAGACCTCAATCACATCAACTTCATGGTAATCATCCCTTTTACCTGTAACCTTGATGGTTCCATTATCCAACAACAACTGAACACCTTTCCTTACAATTGAACATCCTCGAGAGTCCCGACAACAAATTCGACAAGATCCATACTGATGTTCTACCTGACCATCCATGTGGCAGAACTTAGCGTGCAATTGTACAAGATCCTCATTCATATATTCCACATCAAAGATTCTAAACTCTCCAGGACATCCAGAAACCATGTTTACTTCCTCTTCATACTCTGTCCTAGGCCTGATTATTTGGATGAGGCCTTCATCCACCATCTCCTGCAAATCATCCTTTATCTTGTCACAACCTTGTATATCCGTATTACAAACAGCACAACCAGCATGGTCATGCATATAGTAGCTAAATTCAGAGGTCTGCATGCATTTTTACCAAATCTCCTCTAACCAGATTAACATCAAAAATCCGGAAGTCTCCTGGACAATCGGCCACCATACTCATAACATTTGCTCCTCCATGGTTGGGCAGAGGATTGTCTTTCACATTAGGGCCCACATCCTTGAAAGATAGAATATCGGACTTCACCAATTTTTGTACCTCGGTCTTCAAAGGATAGCAATTCTCAACATCATGCCCTGGTGCTCCCTGATGAGAAGTACATGTTTGGTCTGCCTTGTAATACCAAGGCAACGGTGATGGTAAATCAGGAGGTGGTCGGGTCTGAACCAATTTCTTCTGAATTAACGTCGGTAGTAACTCTGTATAACTCATAGGAATAGGGTCATAACCCTTCCTTCTCTGATTATACCCTTTATTCTCATGCTGGGATGGTTTCTGATAAGAAACGGTGGTTGAAGCTACACAAACAATTGGAGTAACTTAGGTGACTTGCTGATGACGCTGATAATTTCCTCTAGGAGGATTAACTCTCCTTTCTAGCATGACAGTGTTTGTATCTCCTTCTTTCTTTTTAGAAAACCCATAGGATGGCTTCTTCGTATTTCCAGAACTTTCACCCTTCGTTAGATGACCCTCTCTTACAGCCTCTTCTAAGCGGATACCCATGCCTACCATTTCAATAAAGTCACTTAGCGCACTCGCTACCATCCTCTCATAGTAGAAAGCACCCAGAGTCTTCAAGAAAATCTTACTCATCTCCTTATCTTCCATGGGAGGAATCACTTGGGCGGCTACCTCACGCCATCTCTGTGTATATTCTTTGAATGATTCTCTGTCTTTCTGGACCATGGCCCTGAGTTGATCATAGTCAGGCGCCATGTCCATGTTGTATTTTTATTGTCTGATAAATTCTTCTCCCAAGTCATTGAAAGTATGGATATTGATGCTATCCAAACTCATATACCACTTCAGCGCATCACCAGTTAAACTATCCTGAAAAAAGTGAATCAGCAGACGTTGATCATCAGTATGGGTAGAAATTCTTCTTACATACATTACAAGATGAGCACGAGGACAAGTGTTTCCCTTGTACTTATCAAACTCTGGGACTTTAAACTTTGTTGGTATCTTAACATTCGGGACCAATCATAAATCACTCACATTTTGCCCGAACAATTCCTTTCCCCTAAGGGCCTTCATCTCCCTCTGCACCTTGTCAAACTGCTCTTGAAAATCATCCATTCTGTCATAAAGACCCAAGTCTTCACTTGGTGGAGGAAAAGGATGACATATATCATCATTAACAATTGGAACCATATTCACCAAAGGAGGTGCAGCAAGAGCAACATACACCACAGGAGGTGCAGGAGTAACAGTAGTATGAACAACTGGAGCTTCTTGAGGACCAAGATTGAAACCTTCAGTCGCAAAGTTCTCTGGCATTCCCCATGGATAACCTTGAGGCATGTGATTCTGAATAACAACTGGAGTAGCAGACATAGGAACGGCCAGAGCTTCAGTAGTAACCCTTGTTGGTTGAGGTTGAACACTTGGTGGCTGATTCTAAGCAGCCACTAGAGATTCCATCAGAGCAGTAAGATTGTCTATGTCGGCCTTCAAAGCAAAAACCTCCTCACGCAGCTTGCAATTCTCTTGTTCTAAGTTGTCCATCTTCCTTATGAAATTAGCTCAAGTGTTGTAGTGGTGAGACAACTTGCTGAACAAAGTAAAGAAGCTTGGTAAGATACCTGGATATGCCAAGAAACGCAAGAAACACGTGCAATATGATGCATGATGTGTAATGCACATGATTTATTTTTATTAATATTTCAAGGGACTTAAAGATTTATAGACACATTGCAAATATCAAAGTAATAACATATTTGAAATACTAAAATTTTTTATTAAAATAACTTCAAAATGGATTACAAGTTTCAATTATCCCAAGTACAAGATGAAAATAAAGTCTAAAACCCTAAGGAGCAAAGCTAATAGAGATCACTCTATACGTTGGCGCTTCCCTGTAAGCCTGGCAGTCTGAGCCTTCAACCTCTGGTTTTCTTTAGCATATTTGGTGGCAACCTCCTTCCAATCACCTGAATCAGGAAGTGAGCAACTAGCAACTGACTAAGGCTTAAGAGAAAATAAATCCCCTTGCCTCTCCATCATCTCTACAGCCCGACTCTCAAGAATCTCAATTAAGTCGTCTTTCTCCTTCAAGTATGTTGTATAGGAAATCTCTAAAGTTTGGCACTTATTCTTCCAAGCATCCTTTTCCTGTCGCATCCTGACTAAAGCAAGTTGTAGCTCTTCCATATCATCCAATAAGGGAGGAGTGATCTTCACAAACAAATCAGGCATAGGTGCTTCCCGGGAATATGGCATTTTCAACTGAATAGCTCTCACTTGAACCCACTGAAGATATGGCTCCAAAGAAACAGCCCCCTGGGTCCCAAATCTTTCCTACTCTTCTTATGAATGTGAGACCAGGCCTTCACAATCTTCTCCCTAGCTTCCTTATGGTCTTCTCCCTCCTTCAGAAAGAAACTACTCAAATGAATAATATTTGGTTTATCCCTCATTGGATAACCAAGTTGTTGTCGTGCAAGAACGGGGTTGTAGTTAATTCCTCCCTTTGTACCAAGAAGAGGTACATTGGGGAAACTACCACAGCTGTCGACAATCTCTACATCCTGGTAAACTCGATGGTACCAATCAATATGCGAGTGAGTAAGTACCATGATCTTAGGAGCCCAACGGGGTTCTTTCCTGACATCCCAGAAAGCATCAGACTGAGGCATATGAGAAATAAACCACCGGTACAACAGAGGCGTGTAACAGATAATCATCCCCCCGTGATAAGAATTCTGAAGATAAATAGAGTAATAAGCATCACCCAGCAATGTAGGAACTGGATTTCCAATCATGAAGATCCTGATAGAATTAACGTCAACAAACTTGTCCACATTAAGAAATAAGAACAACCCGTAAGCAAGTAGAGTGAAGATGGCCTCAAAAGCGTATGTACTCTTCATCCTGGAAAAGTAACGAGCTTTCTCCAATAAGAACTGAGTTGGTAATCCTCTAATCCCTCCTTTAGTAGTCACATGGGCTTCAACCTCAGACTTCCCCAGATGAATTAAAGTAGCAATCGCATTTGATTTTGGCTCAACCTCCAAACCAGTAAAAGGAACATGATCGGTAATAGGTAAATCCAACAGATAATAATACTCCTCCAGTGTAGGCATAAGCTGGTAGTCAGGGAAAGTAAAGCAATGATACATCGGATCATAGAACTGGGCCAAGGTCGAGAGAATTCCCTCCTTCATCCTAGGCTTCATGAGAGGAATGATGGATCCATACTTCTTCCGAAAATCAGCAGAACACTCAATCTCGGGAATTAGACTGATCAACTCATCTATCTTGGGATCTTTGAAACTGTATTTTCCAATCTTTCTTTTTCCAGAATCCATGGCCAAAAGGTACCTGAGCTATTCATAAATGGTCAACCTTTTAAGTCCCTTAAAATGAAATTCCTTCAAAATATGCTTATGGGTGCATGGATGCATGATGCAACAATCACATACAAGATCAAAAGTATAGAATTCATAGGTTCAATGTCACGAGCATGAGGTCGAAGGTACTACCCATAAGGTATGGTCAAAATGTTATCACCTGCCGAACAAGGTTCTAGAGGTTCCCAGAGTCTACATCCTTCTTTCGGATATTACCAACTTCTCGATTAACTGAGTAATTAGTAATATTCTCAAGAAAAACTTGTCCAAGCGTAGTATCGTGTGACAACTATTTCCGTATTACTCTGTCATAGCTTCTGCACTACACCTAAAAGGCCAAGATGGGTTAGGTATTCTACGGTCCTCAGCTTCAGCAGGCTCCTAGGTCGAAAGTAGTACATCTTATCGATTACTCGGTAAACGACACTACAGTCAAAGGGGCCTCCACTGAGTTGGGGATCTCATGCCTCCTTTTTTGGGATTACTCCCTCAAAGTTAACATGACTATATTGCCCGTCCTATCTTAAAGTTTTCCCAAGTTTGGGTATAGGACTTATAAGTAATCACCAAGCACCCTGAAAACCAGGAAAATCCAAGCAAACATATATACAACATATAACACATAAATAACAATAGCAAATATACAGATATAAACAAAGATAGGCTCAACCCACTTAGGTATGGACCAGCAGGAGGTCAATCTTTCCCCAGTGAAGTCGCCATTTTTCTGTAGCGGTAGAAATGTTAAAGTCTAAGTCATTGGATTGAATAGACTTATACAGATCAAAATAAAAATCACCACCATGCTTTATTGTTTCCAAAGGAATAGGAAAAGAGTGAATAACCCAAAAGAGGGGGGAAAGATTCGAGGTAAGGGGGTTGGTTATGCAAAGGGAAGGTATTAGCACCCTAAACATCTACGATACTCTGCAGAACCTCTTTTAAAATATCTATATATTTTGGCTACAAAATTTTGTATATAAAAAATAGATGATGGAGTTGATAAAAGAAGTATTTTTTATGATTTTTGCACCCGCCGCGGTTGCGAATCTTTAGTGCCTACGTAGCACCTTCTGTGCAATAGGGGATCAGGGTACACGTAGCTCATCTTTTAAAAATTTTAAAACACAAATGTATTTGTTAATTTTATGAGATAAGATATCATCATCATTGTCCGTGTGGAAAACATACTTACTACCCACAATAATGAGAAAGGAGAATTTGTATCATCTCAAAGTGGAGGATATGGCTTGGATTTTAAAATCAACAATGCCTCACTCAACACCCAAGTGGAAAATATCTCTCTTCACTACATATTGTAGAAGTATAGTTGTTTTCATCACTACAAGGATTGACAAGAGTCCAATCTTTCGAGAAAGGTTTTAAAATAAAAAGTCTAAGTGGAAAAATGGTTTGAAATGAGATTGACTGACTTTTAGTCATCTCACAAAAAAAAAGTTCAAGGTATTATTAAATTGATTGGATTTTATTTATGAAAAGGTTTTGAAAATGCATGGACCTAGGTCCAAGTTTATTATGAAAGTAGTTCAAGTTTCAAAACAAGAAGAGTTTTCAAAAGGAGGAAGAAGATTTATGAAATTAAAGAAGATGGGAGGAGAAGAAGAGACTATCCTAAAGCATAAGGTAAAAGTTGGGGATAAAGACCATCTAACCAACAAGAAGCCAACACTTGACATTATGAGTCAAGATAGACTTCCCATTCTTTAGATCGAAACCAAGCAAGCAAAGATACTAGACCTCTTGAGAAAACCAAAATTCAAGTGTATTAAATCTCCACAAAAATTGGGCAGAGTAACAGGTGTATATGGGTGAATTCCAGATTACAAACAAAGAATTTAATCACAATAACCTGCACACAAAATAAACAAACATCCCAATGTCTTGAGGTAAACCTCAAGAACTCCAAACAAAATATTAATTAAAGTCACAAGGTCTCCATCATAGGCCAAGGTTTCTAATCCTAAGTCCAAGAAGTCCAATACTCTATAATGCCAAGGATAGTAACCAAGTAGTCCAAGTATCGTTAAAGCTTTTATGGTTCATGTTGATTATTAGGTGTCTTAAAAAAGAAAAGAAAAGCTCAAGTGAGCAGAAATAAAAATAACAAGAATATATATGCTCAAGTGAGCAAAATAAAAATGACAAGAAAGTAAATGCTCAAGTGAGCAAAGATGAAAAGTATGATGAAATGTAATGCTTAAAGTAAATGGTACATAAAGCATAAAAAATAAAAGCATAAAGTAAAATCAATTATGTATTTAGTGGTTAGTTGGATGACCATCTTGAAACTTGCATTTGGAACTCATTAGAGGATTGGTAGAACCAAAGCCTCCACACTACAAGTTGCATTTGCTTTTTGTCAAGTATATCATCTATTTGGAATTCTCACAAATATCCTTTAATGATCAACGATGTTTAAGTGATCCGCGTTGACAAAAAGTATTGTAGATCCATTAGAGGATTGGTAGAACCAAAGCCTCCACACAATGAATCTCAAGGTTATTGGATCAAAGAGATCAAATTAACATACTTGGGCTTGCAAACATATGTTTGGGCCACGAATGATCATGTATTCAGATCAGGACAAAATTTAGCGATATGTTAAGCAATCATAAGTGGATATATATAGAACTCACACATATTTTGAGGCCGGTCAATAGCAATCTATGCACCATTTGTTTTGAGACATTATATAGATATTATGCTCCAATAAAACTTAGTGCAATAAGAAAGGGATAAGATGAAGAGGGGTGAGGAAGAATATACAAAGCATATTTGAATTAAATTTTAATCAAACTATTATTAAAATCATTCATCCATTTTTATGGAGTTAGACTCAATACCATGGATCCAATGATGTTAATAAAGTTCATAATAAAAAATTCAACCCAAGATCATCGAGAAAATAATCACAAAATAATATTGCATTTAATATATACATTAAAAAAGGTTTTAAAAATGTTTTAAAATAGAAATAAAAGAGAAAAATATCAACTATGTTCAAATTAATCAAGAAATAAAAAGTAAGACCATAGAAAAAATCAGAAAAGGACTCAAATATTTTTATAAAATTTTTGGTAATTTTTTAAAGTCAGAAACTATTTTTTAAAATTAAAAGAAATGAGTAAAATAAACCAAAAATGATTAAAAAAATAACAAAGTCAGAAATAAAAAATAAATGAGGTCATCAATATCTGTTAAAATATCATTAGATCATTCCATAATTTTTTCAGAATTGAAAAATGCATAAAAGTATTTTTAAACATTTAAAACAATTCAAATAAAGTGAAAATTTATTAAAAAAAATCAAAACACAAAATAAATTTGTGAAAAAAAATAAATCAAAAAGAGAAAAATCAAAAATATTTTTCATAATTTTTTCATATTTTTTGGACTAAAAATGAATTTTGTATGATTTTTTGAAATTTAAAACAATTAAAATAAAAATCAGAAAATAAAATATCAAACCAAAAAAATATAGTTCATCTGATCAATGTCAAAACACGTTAGTAAACAGATCAAGTGGACCGGGCGCGTTGTGCATGTTATGGACTTTAGTGAATAAAGTATTGAATCATTAATTAAATCAGATTCACAAAAAACAAGTGGCGCACCCTCATTGTTTGAAAGATGGCACGTTGGTCATCTTCAACTGCCAGCCAACTTTAATTGAAGGTCTCTCAAACTTTAAAATCAAAAGCTCGGACCTATTCCATTCACTTTATCTCTTCAAGACGAAGACAACCACACATTCGCGACAAATTTATATAAACTGTAGCTCGAGCAATTTGGAAGGAAAGTTTTGAAAAGAGATTTAAAATTTCATGGTCAAAACGTGTTTCCAGATAAAAGCAAGTGTTGCGGCTAGAACCAGGGCAATGAGATCTTCACAATGATATCAAAGTTTTGAAGAATTGATGGAGAAATCTACCTATTGAAGTTGAGTTGCAGAGCTCTGAAACTGGACTTCTATGGAGCAATATAGGGCACGATTCTTGAAGGTAATTGTATGGTTAGCTTCAGGGAAGATCAAGGAAGGTGAATTGATAGAAAAATTGGATTGAAAAAGACTTGAAAACTGATTTCGAAGTTACAGAAAATTGAGTTATGGAGCAAGTTTGGCAGGGTGATTCTGGCTATCCAAGCTTGAGGAAATGAATGAGAGGTGACCCTCTATTTATAGGGAATCAAATGGAATATTCAAGTGTGTGAAATGATGAAGTTTAGAGGGAAATTGTGTGAAGTTGTAAAACAAGAAAAGCGTGACTTCTAATTTGATCAAAACTCATCCAAACACGCGTTTTTCTATGTTAATCACTTCTGCAAGTTCACTAAACATGTTTAGAAGCAAAAACACGCAGAGACAAAGTGTTTAGAAGCTAACTCAATGATTTCAAATTCTGACTTTTGAAGAAACTTCAGTTTCAAGTTACCAAGTACAAATCCATGGCATTCTCAGCTCAAGGGGTCTTAGGGTATGATTCTTGATGCTTTAGAAAGATGAGATTACAAGCTTTACAATGGGAAAAGAATGGAATCAAATGGATATTTGAGCTGAATGTTGCAATGAGTCAAAGTTGGGAAAAAGTGGTTGACTTTCCATACTTAGAAATATTTCAAGTTTTTCTTCAAAAGTGACCTATAATGTTTTGCATCCAAACATGGCCTTCCACTTGGAATTTGCTCTTTATCAAAAAAGATGGCATGAAATA